GTTCTACTTTCATATAGTGCAGCAACTAGCAGCAAGGGACTTTGGGCATGGGAGGGGATCTTACTCTTTAACAGGTTGGTGTATTTGCCAGCAGCTGATTGTATGGGATGCAGCAGGAGAAGGGCAGGTGCGACTGTAAGGAGGAAGAAATAAGGTGAAGAGAGCAGAAAGAAGAAAGGAAGGAGGGAATTGTTAATGCCACTGCAGTACTTGGACACAATATGATTGATCATATTTATACATAATCGTATGAGAGGTTGTATTGTAACTTTGGAATGCCTATGTGGGGAGATTGTGGGAAGAAGGAGAGACGAAATAGTACTATCCATTTGGCTGGAAATGTAGTCTCTGGAATTGTGGCTTGATAAATTATTCTTTTCATACCTTTTCCTTAACATTCAATGTCGTAGTTATGTAAGCTGGTGTGTGTAGCTCTGTATAGGAGCAGAGCGAATTGGTGGTCGTGAGTGGTGAGAGAGTGGAGGTGTATGATACATAAATAATGAAGCTGGTGTTTTGTCGTTGTGGGAGGAGTCAAGATTGCTTCATAGATAGATATAAGAGCAGATGTTTGTCTATGAGACTGTGGGAGCAGGTGATAGTAGAATCGATCTGCATGAGGGCATGGGTCAATAACGTCTGGAGCCGGTGGTTTATGTAGTAGTACAAGAGGGCAGAGAGTTTTTGATCGTACTTTTATGTGTAAGCTCGGTGAATCCATATAGGTGTGAATATTCGAGAGATGCCGAGTGTTGTTGTAGTCGGAGCCAGGCTCTGTTTGGATATGTTTGATTAGAGATAAGTGGAGTTGTTAAGTTGGGAGAACCCGGTGTTGTCGTGGTTGGGGCAGGTGTTGTCGTAGTCGCGGCCGGGTTGTCGTAGTCGGAGCGGTGTTGTTGTTGTATGGTGAGCCAGTTGAGTTGCTGGAATACAGTGGAGTCGGACAGCCGCGATGTTGTATTCGTTTTGAATGGTATTAGGAGCTTTGATGTTGTTGTTACGTTGTAAAAAGCAAGAAGGTTGTTTTTGTGTAGTTAATATATTTGAGAGACCCCATGGTGTTTGAATAGAATAAAATAGTTGTTGGAAGCTGGTGTTTTTTTTGTTGTTGTAGGAGCAGGTGTTTTGTTGTAGGAGGCAGTGTTGTTGTAGTTGGAGGGCAGGTGTTGTTGTTGTTGGAGCTGGTGTTGTTTGTTGTAGGAGCAGGTGTTGTTGTAGTTGGAGCCCTGGTGTTGTTGTTGTGGTTGGAGCCAGGTGTTGCTCGTAGTAGGAAGCTGGTGTTGTAAGTTTGTAGGAGGCAAGTGTTGTTGTAGTTTGGAAGCTGGTGTCGTTGTAGTTGGAGCCGGGGTTATTGTAGTCCGGATCCGTGTTGTTGTTGTAAGACGGCTGGAGTTGTTATAATGGGCAGCGGTGTTGACGTGGTTGGGGGCCAGGTGTTGTTGTAGTCGGCCGGCCGGGTTGTCGTAGTTGGAGCCGGAGGTTGTTGTTGTAAGTTGGAGCCCGAGTTGTTGATAGTGGGAAGCCGGCTGTTGTATGGTTGTAGAGAGCTGGAGTTGTTTGTAGTTGGAGGCCGGTGTTGTTGTTTGTAGGGCAGCAGTCGTAGGCCTGGCCAGTCGTAGGCGCGGCAGTCGTAGTTGCAGCGGTACTTGGAACTGGACCCTCTGTGAAACAGTTTTTTAAAGTAAATATTCATGCCAAACCAAAATGATGTCTTTGTTTGTTGTTAATCTTATGTAGTTATGAATTAGCTGATGTCTCATTCAGTTTATAACAAATTATTTACATAAAAAGCATTCTGGCTGAATTCAAGGTAGTTATAAATAGGTCATCCTGCCCCACTGTTGGATAGATTCTGAAGAAACTTGGCTGGACTTGCATTTCTTGTACTTCTTAATTGCAACATACTTTTGTTTCAAAACAGCATATGCAGCACTTCATTTGTAATGTTTACATTGTGATTACAGTGAAATGTGTTGTGTTAACTTACTTTCTACTTTGACAGATGAGGGACTGATGCTCACATTGAAGCTATTGCTGGAATTCACACCTTGTACTAAGGCTTCAGCAACAACATTATTCTGTGGGAGTTCTGCAAGAGGAGTAGTCCGATTGAACACAACCTCCAAATCTACTTCAGTTCCTTGTGCTCGTGTTTGGGTTGTAGCAGGCCTGTTTCAGTATAAAATTGTGTTACACATGACACAATAGACACTAGACCATACCAATTTTAAGAACATAATCCTGCTTATCAAACAAAAGTGAAACACTATAGAAAAACAGTTTTTACCTGAACTCTTGTACAATGCAGCGGACAAAACTAATAGGAAATCGTTTTTTGTATATGGGGGTGCACTGCAAAAAATGGAAACATTGAAAGATTTTGAGCAGCTTTCAAGTACAAGTTGAAATTAAATAGAAATTAAATTTAAGTACAATGTTCAGATTTTTCCTACAGAAAAAAAACATTCATTCCCAACACTTCGACACAATCAATGAAAAACTGTAGTCAATTTGAAAATGTTCTTACCGTTGCTAAAACTCGTTTTTCAAGATCTCTGAATCGACCACTGCTGCGGTTAGTGAGGTCATTTGAAAACTCTTCTTCTGGCAGGTCTGCTGAGATGCTATAAACAGGTTCAGGGGTCAAAGTGGTTGTTATTGCTGAAGAGGTCGTAGTCGGAGCCGGTGTTGTTGTTGTAGGAGCAGGAGTTGTCGTAGTCGGAGCAGGTGTTGTTGTAGTTGGAGCCGGTGTTGTTGTTGTAGGAGTAGAGACGTTGTAGTCAGAGCAGGTGTTGCTGTAGTTGGAGCCGGTGTTGTCGTAGTAGGAGGAGGTGTTGTCGTAGTTGGAGCAGGTGTTGTTGTAGTCGGAGCCGGTGTTGTCGTTGAAGGAGCCAACGTTGTCGCTATAGGAGAAGGAGTTGTAGTGAGAGCAGGTGTTGTAGTTGTGGGAGCAGGAGTTGTCGTAGTTGGAGCAGGTGTTGTCGTAGTAGGAGCTGGTGTTGTAGTTGTAGGAGCAGGAGTTGTCGTAGTTGGAGCAGGTGTTGTTGTACTTGGAGCAGGTGTTGTCGTTGTGGGAGCAGGTGTTGTAGTTGGAGCAGATGTTGTCGTTGTGGGAGCAGGTGTTGTCGTTGTTGGAGCAGGGGTTGTCGTAGTCGGAGCCGGTGTTGTAGTTGTAGGGGCAGGAGTTGTTGTAGTCGGAGCTGGTGTTGTTGTAGTTG